AATCAGGTCTAAAACCAGTCTAAGGACCAGGATTAACCCAGTCTGAAGACAGAACTGAACCAGATCTAAAGGTTTTAGTCTCTAAACGTTCTAACAGAACCAGAAAGAATGAAATGATGTGATGTGTCTCACCCCAGGTCCAGTACTGGAGGTTTGTCCCGTCCTCGGCGGTAACACAGGTACAGGTGCGGGTTGTTGATGAGTCCGGCGCTCAGCTCTGCTGAGTGACCCCCCGGGGTCTTCTCAATGCAGGTGAAACCTTCTGGTACCTCCTCCCCGAGACCCCGAGCGATCACCACCAGGTCCGTCACCGGATCCACCGCCCGCACTGAGGAGGAGGAGGAAGTCTTCCCGTCTTCATCCAGGGGCCTCCAAGGTCCTGCAGGGTCCAGACCTGCCACTACGAAGTAGTCCACCAGCTGGGGACATTTCTCCTCCGTCATGGCTCCGGTCTAAGATCCACTGTGGGACAAAGAGGGACCAGAGTCAGACCTCTGAAGGCTCCTGGCAGCTGTTTGTACTCAGATTAATAAATCAGATAAAAACATGGTTTTATTAAAAACATTTTCATTATGAGCATATCATTTTGTAAATGTATCCTAAAACAACAACTCTGCAAAAATAAAAATAAAATATCAGTGAACCTTTAAACAATGAATCAGCCAATCACAGAGCTGTGTGTATGTGTGTCCTCTGGCCTCGTTCAGTCTCATAAAAATCTGCTGAGTCACTCATTAAAACAATCATATCTGATCATTTTATACAAGAGAAAACAGAAACAGTTCAGAATAAGACGCAAAACTACAGGAAGTGTGGATTTAATGAAAATTAAAGACTGTTAAGACCTTTTCACTGAAAGTGTCACAAGATCATCTGATTTGTGTTAACTAACAACCATTCACAGCAATTCTAGTCCATTCACTGGGATTCTAGTCCATTCACTGGGATTCTAGTCCATTCACTGGGATTCTAGACCATTCACTGGGATTCTAGACCATTCACTGGGATTCTAGACCATTCACTGGGATTCTAGTCCATTCACTGGGATTCTAGTCCATTCACTGGGATTCTAGTCCATTCACTGGGATTCTAGACCATTCACTGGGATTCTAGTCCATTCACTGGGATTCTAGTCCATTCACTGGGATTCTAGTCCATTCACTGGGATTCTAGTCCATTCACTGGGATTACAGTATAGTCCATTCACTGGGATTCTAGTCCATTCACTGGGATTCTAGTCCATTCACTGGGATTCTAGTCCATTCACTGGGATTCTAGTCCATTCACTGGGATTACAG